TGCCGCCAGGGCCATACTGGTCTGTGTGGCCTATGCTGTCACCCAGGCCATGGTGACATCTAGGCCTGAACTGCTGGCAAGGGCCATGTCTGGGTCTGTGGTCCTGGTGCAGTTGAGGTCTGTGTTGATGTCCATGGGCCGTGTTACCACAGGGGGCCATAGGAACCATGCATGTTGAAATCCGAGGGCCATGCTTGAGCTGGCCAGCCCTTGACTGGCCCTGAAATAGCTGGCCCTGCCCTTCACTGGACACTACAGCAGGAGAGCTGGTCCCGCCCCTCACCACTGGTGTGGGAGAGCTGGCCCCTATGACATAGGCCTAGGAGAGAATTGGTTCCGCCCCTCACCTGAGCGGGGCGATCCCAGTGGCCGAGACTAAACAGCTCAGCTACCACCCAGACCCACATCCTGGGCCTTGGGTTGGCCCACCCTAGCATCTGCCCCATCGATGACCTGCTGGAGTACGTGAAAGGATTGGTCCTGTGGAAAGATAGCCACGAAATCACCCTGACTCTGGGCAACAGCAGGATACGCATGATGAGCTTCATTGAGGGGCCCGTGAGGCCTTGAACCAGACTAATGACTCGTGGCAATGAACATCTGTGGGTGGGGCTGATTGGAGAAAAGGGTGTACTGCGTGACACGCCGTAGCTCCCAATGCCACTGGGATAAATAAGAGATGTTAAAGAAACAGGAAGAAGAAAGAGCAAGGTGGGGTTTTTCATCTGTTTTTAATTAATTTTGGGGGGGTTCCTTTCAGGGGGATGCAATAGGAGTGAGGGGCAGATATGGAGGGACTGGGAGGTGAGCAGAATTAGAGTGTATGATGTGAAATTCCCAAAGCATCAATAAGGAATTATGAAAAAATGTTTAAAAACTGTATGTGTATATTTATACATGGAATTGCATTATTATATTTTTTTTCTCTTAGGTAGTCAATAGTATGATCGATTGTGACTTTTCAGACATCCTTATAGTTATTTTGCCCACCTTCCTCCTTCTTCCCTACTTACCTCCTTCCCCCTCCCTAGAGTCCTCCCTTTTCCCTTTATTTCCTTATCAGATCCCTTGTATTATGCTGTTCCCTCCTTTTCCCATCTGTCACCTTCTGTATTTTTTTTACCTCCCCCTCTTCCTAAAGAGGCCCCTTGCCCACTTCCCTGATCAGATCACTTGTTCCCTACTAATCTCTTTTTTGCTCCCCAACCTCGCTACCTTGGCCATGGTCCCATTTTACTTTCTTGAATTTCTGTAGTTACAAGCTACATAGTCACATCTCAAGATTTGGAGCTAGGGGCCTCCAGGGAGAGAAAACATGTGACCTGTGTCTTTTTGTGTCTGGATTACCTCATTCGCTATGATATTTTCTAGTTCTATCCATGTACCTACAAAGTTCATGACTTTGGTATTCTCAGCTGAATGGTAGTCCACAGTGTGTGTGGATGACATTTTCATTAGCCATTCATTGGCTGTGGGACATTTAGGTTGGTACCATTTCTTAGCTATTGTGAATAGATCAGCCATGAACCTGGGGAAGAAAATATACATGGGGTAGGGTCTTTGGGGCACATGCTGAGGAATGGTGTAGCTAGGGGTCATACGGTAGGTATATGCAACTTTTTGACAATTTTCCACAATGATTTCCCCAATCCCTCCAGCAGGAAATGAGGGTTCCCCATTCCCCAGATCCCCTCCAGCATTTGTTGGCAGTTGTTCAGCTGATATTTGCCATTCTGACTAGGGTAAGATGAAATCTCAAAGTTGTTTTGATTTACACTTCCCTAATTACTGGGTACAGTGAACATTTTTTTGAGATATTTTTCAGACATTTTCTTCTTTTGAGAACTCTTTGTTCAGGGCCTAAGCCCATTTTCAAATAGGACATTTTTCTGACTCCTTGCTTTTTTAGTTAATTGTATATTCTGGATATCAATCCTCTGTCAAGTGTATATCTGGCAAAGACTCTGTCCCACTCTGGGGCCTTCCTCTTCACCTGGCTGACTGGTTTTTTGCCTGTACAGAAGCCTTTTAGTTTTAGGAAGTCCCACTTGTCAGCAGTTGGCCTGAGTTCTTGGGTTAATGTCCTATGTACAGAGCCCTTACATACATATGCCCATATCATGTAAGGTACTGCCCATCTCTTCTTCTAGAGGTTTCAATGTTTCAGGTTTCAAGTCTAGGTCTTTGAACCATTTGCAGTTAAGGTTTGTGCAAGGTGAAAAATACTTGTCAAGTTTCATTCTTTTGTATGTGAACAGCTAGTTTTCCATTTATTTATGTTTATTCTGATTTTTGAAAGGATGTTCTTAGAGCTATAAAATGCCTTCATGGGACAGCTCTCCTGTGTCTCAGAGATTTTGCTGTGTTTTCATTTCCATTTAGTTCCAGGAAGTTTTTATTATTTTTTTTTCTTGATTTCTTCTTTGGCCCATTCATCATTTAGTAATGAGTTTTTTTTTTTTTTCATCTCAACAAGTTTGCATATTTACTAGATTTCTTTTGCTATCAATTTTAAGTTTTATTGCAGAATATTGCCATAGTTAGGTGTTGTGGTGGTCTGAATGAGAATGGCCCCAATAGGCTCATACATTTGAATGCTTAGTCACCAGGGAGTGGCACTATTTGAAAGGAATAGGATTAAGAGGACGGCCTTGGCCTTGGAGTAGATGCATTATGAGAGGTGGGCTTTGAGGTTTCCAAAGTCCATTCCAAGTCCAGTATCTCTCTCTCTCCCTCTGCTTATGGATCAAAATGTAGCTCTCAGCTACTTCTCCTGCAGTGTGCCTGCATGTGGCCATGCTTTTAGCCACGTGGACTCAGCCTCTGAAACTGTAAGCAAGCCCCCAGTTAAATACTTTCTTTTATAAGAGTCGTCTTGGTCACGGTGTTTCTTCACAGCAAAAGAACAGTGACTAGGACAGGTTGTCCTCAGACAATGGACTGGAACATCCCAGGAACAACTGGGACCCTCACACATTGCTCCACACTCTGCAGGAATCTCCAGTGCTCAGCTGGACATGCACATACAACGGAGCAGGGGACCCTACTGGGTGCCCACCACTTCTCTCATGTGGTACAAACAGTGACCACTGTCCCCACCAAACATAGAGAACTCCAGCTGACAGCCCCAGGCTCCAAAAACTATGACAGGAAACTATAAAAACATGTTGATACTGAACAATTACTAAGAAATGTTATTAGCTTAAAAACGACCAAAGCAAGTTGGATGCAGTGGCATAGGCCTGAGTGCTAGCTATATGAGAGGTGGATAATCACTTGAGCCCACAAGTTCAAGGCCAGCCTGGGTAATGTTTGGTGAGAGCCTGCCTGAAAAGAAAGAAAGGAAGAAAATGGGAGGCAAAGGGGAGTAGGGGAAGAAATGAAGGGGTGGATGAGGGAAGAGAGGAGGGAAGGGAAGAAAATAAGGAAATAAGCAGGAGGCATCAAACATTCCTGACATTGCCTCTCAACGAGTCCTTCATTTTATTTTCTTAACATCAAAGTCCCCAGAATGCACCCATTTTCTTGGGTATGCCAATCTCTCAGTGATTATCACCCTTCTCCCAAGAAGTTTCCTTGGGCCCAAGTGTTACCTCTTTGCTCCCACACTTTTTCTGGCAGTATCTGGTCCCCCCTCAAGTTTAGGACAATGTCCCTGCCTCCAGGAATCCTTCCAGACTCCACACACTGCACTATAGCTGTCTTATTCTGGGCTGCCTTCCCCATCTGCCTGGGAGCAGCCTAGGAGACCAGTCTCCTCCCTGCTGACAAGTTTAGCTCCTCCATGTTGACTGGGGGAGCCCAGAGCCCAGCACCAGCCTGGGAAGGTCATGTGCTCTAGAGGTAAGGGCATAAATGGGAAAGGGTATGAATGACAAGGGGCACTCCCCACTACAGCCTGGGAGAGCCTCAAACCCTGAATTCTCCTACATAAAACCTCATAAGCGCATACATGAACCCAACTCCTAAAGAAGGAAACAGAAGCAAGCACAGGGCACTGTGTTAATAGGATGCTCTCGAGTTTGAGCTTAAAGACGAAAGAACGGGAGGCCCTTCACAAGCACCTGGGAATCTCTCGGTTCCTGATATATAGGCACAGAAATTCAACAGTCAAATTTGTACTTTCTGTGTTCCCAGAATGTTCTGAAATGAAAACTGAGGAAGTAAAGTGCCTTTAGTTATAGTCTCTGGGAGCTTCCTTGTTTTAAAGTTGCCTGTGCTAATAAAGATGAACAGCTGGAAAATAACAAGCCTGTGGCCCTTCTAAAACAACTCTTTGCTTAGATGCCATCCTCCTCAGGTCTGCTTCCTATTGTACATTTCCAATTGATGTTGGGAGCTGCAGTGCACTGAAGCCCTCAAGCCAGGGAGGTAGAGAGGAGGCAGGTGTTCAGTGGCACGAGTGGGGTCCCAGAGTCACATTTAACAGGACTAAAGGAGTCTTCTGATGAAAGATGTGATGGGGAGTGTTGGGACCTGCTTATGGAAAGTATCCTAAAGACATTTCATATTTCAATAGCATTGATGGCTGAAAAGAAGAAATGCAAGACACAAACAAACTTCTGAAAACTTGCAACTTAAAGCTTTTGGAAAAATAATTCTGTAAATTTTCTTGAAGGGCTAGAGAGATGGCTCAGTGATTAAGAGCATTTATTGTTTTTGCAGAGAACCTAGGTTCAGTTCCCAGTACCTGTATGGTGGCTTAAAACCATCCATAATTCAAGTTCCAGAGGATCTGATGCCCTCTTTTGACCTCTGAGGGTACCAGGCACATTCAGGCAAAACACTCACATTTAAAAAGAAAAAGACCGAGACCAGTCCCCCTGGCTGGCCTGGAATATGGCTAAGTAAATATTTAAATATCTTAAAAGAGCATTTGGGTGTTATACAGAGCCCCAGTGTGCCTACTCATCCATCAAATCACTGGGTAAACCAGAGGACCGCACAGTGCATCTGTATCATGCCACTATCACCACCCTCCAATAATGAGACAAACCAGCCTCCTTCTTCCATGGCTTTTATAAACTGCACCAGCCCCACAGTGAATGTCTTTTAGAAAATTTCACCGAAATCAAAGAGGAGTCCAAAAACAAAATGCAGCAGATGAGGGGAAAGTGGAGGATGCGGAGGTCACAAGGCCACCCTGTAAGCTGTCCTCTGTCCTCTAGAGTCCATGCTCAAGGCTAGGAGGACCAGCTGAGGTGGGTCCTACCTCCCCCGTGGGGGCCTGAGCTGTAACTCGCGCTCCAGCTGCTCTGCAGTCAGGGTGCCCTGGATGGCTTCACAGCCGGGGTTGAACACAGAGTAGGCGCTCTTCTCCCCTTCTTTCTTCTCTCCGGGACCCCGAGTCCCTACGTACATCCAATAGAACATAGACAGGACAAAGTACGCCAGGCCAAATTCCAGTTCCACAAACAGACCCAGCAGGACCAACCAGAGGAGAACCTTCAAGAAGGTGATGTTGGTCAGGAGAGACTGGTGCCGGGGTGAAGGCAGAGGGACCGCTGTGCTCTGTGGGGGCTGCTGGGCTGCTTCCTAGGACACAGAAGCAAACAGAAGTAAGAACGGGAGAGTAATGGAGCTGAGAGGATCCAATTAACTGGAAAAGGCAGAACTTACTGCTCTAGGAAGGCTGCTGGCTCACTGAGTTCTATTTGTTGCCTTCCTCTCTAAAGCAATCATTGCCAGAGAGCTTAGGCACCCTGGTCCAAACAAATCAACACTAATGGGTACCCAGCAAGATGTGACCCCACAAAAACCTGACAGCATTGAGATGGGACCCATGGGAACCACTTCTTCAGATTAGCTGGCTGCTAACAAACCTACTTTGTGCCCCCACAGAACCTGACCAGTAATTGATAATGCAGCAGCTGCAGTACTTATCTCCCAGGGACAGTCAACACACTTTTGCAGATTTGATTAGACGGGTTGAAATATCCAGGGTGACTCGGTTCTAAAATGGAGACCATACCCAAAACAGAAAACAAAAATCCCTTTCACGTGTTTAAACCAACCATGATGGCCATTATGGCCATTACCATCCTACACCACACTATCCTATCCAGGTCCTCATCGCTCATTCCCAGGCCTGAGAAGCATCTTCTAAGCAGACTCCTTTCCTCCTATCTCTCTCCAGTCCCCAAGCCAGCCTGTGTACAACTGCTCGATGAGTTCTCAAGATCACCGTCATCCTGCAGCCCACACATCTGCAGGAAAATCCTACTGCCTGCACGTTAAACTTCAGGGTTCTTAGGTGGGAAGACCCAGAGCCAGATGCTGAGGGAAGCCCCTGGGGTGTAGATGGCTCTAGGAGCTTTGCCTCCACTATTTTCTAAGTTTTTGAGAGTCTCTTTTTGATACATAGCAAGAAATGGGTTTTATACTACAGCCCAGTCCACGGGTGCAATGGTAATCAACGTCAGCACTATCTGCCTGGAAAAACATTCTTGCACTCCAAATTATTCTTCAACAACTCTTAAAGGGAACAAGAGCCTATGCTGATTTTACCATCCATGAATGGGTCATGACTTGCATCTTGAAAACCTGTTTATTTAATTAAGTGCTCCAGAGGGGATGGTAGGGAAAAGGTGTGAGACAGAAAGAGTTAATGGAACAAACTGTTAAAGGGGACAAACCCAGGAGCACATGTGCAAAGTCCTGTGACTGATGAGAACTGTGTCTAGTGCTCATTCAGTTTGCCTTGTCAACAACCGCAATGTGGTTGTACGGTACTCAGGCATGGCTCAGGGAACACATCTCCATGCCCCCAGGAGCAAGCTGCTTCCTACCTGAGGGCCCTTTGCAGAGGGAGACAAAGGCAAAGAGACAAACCGAAAGTGAGATTGGGGGTGGGGCACACCAGATGATGACATCAGGTGTCAATTCAATGGCTTCCCACGTTTATTTTTGACACAGGGTCTCTCACTGAACCTGAATATCACCAATTAGGATAGACCGGCCGGCCAGAGAACTCCGGAGACTCTCCTGTCTCTGCCTTCTCAGTGCTAAGACTACAATGCACCGAGCTGAGCTTTATTATGTGGGTGCGGGGACTGCACGGTCCTCATGCTTGCACGAGCTAGCTCCTGAGCTCCAGAAAGAACATTTGAGCAGTAGGGTCCTCTGAACCAGGACTGGGAGGTCAGGAGTTGCAGACCAGGATGGAGAATGAACCCCCAGGGCTGAACTGCTGAACTAGGGGCTTTCTAGGATAGGGCCAGAGAAGGGAGCAAGTTTCCAAGGGATTCAACAGTTACACGCCTTTTAACCACAACATAACAGGACCTTATCATTTGGGGGACTACTTTCCTCCAAGACAACTTGGGCAGAGGGAGATGAAAGGCATGGATATTTTCCAAAGACTACCGAAAGGAAGCTACGACAAAACAGAAGGCTAAAGAAATCTCCAGTGGCCCGGTGAACACCACAATTACTAGGGAGCGATGGGCTGCGACTTAGAACATTGCAATGAGAATTTTATACCAGGGCAAACCCAGGAAGGGTAATAGTCAGTGAAAATGAACCTAAAGCCGAGTCCCTTAAGAAAGGCAGATTAGTGCCAGTCCACCCCAGCGTTTGCTTTCATCAATTTCCGTGTTTTTAATGAAGGAGGCTTTCTCTTGAGTTGAGTTTCTCTAGGCTCAACTCAGTGATTTCATATTCCTTCAGAAATGAGACACCCAGTCAAGAGTGCTTTGTGTGGGTCGGACGTTGCCTTTAAACTGGAGCAGGGGAGAGGAGTGGAAGAGAGGAGGAGAGATGCATTCTCAAGCCTGTTTACTGAGGCCTAATCGACAGTTTTCCATAGACAACTGAGCTGTACAAACTGCACCAAAGGAGATGGACGGTCGAGTGGCTGAGTGGGAAACCTGAATACTGTAGAGAGAATATGGAGTCAAAACTGAGCAGTCATATACTATTAAAGGAATTAAACTATTCCTTAAACTAGATACAGTTGTTGGGGGCACTAGAGAAGCCATGAATATTAAACATGCAGGGGCATCTCCTCACTGGAGGAAATAAATACGGTCATCCCATCCAGAAAGCTGGGAGTATTGTTAACTACCTGGTGACTTTCTGCTACTTGGAGAGACAGACCTCATCTAAAAATCCCCAGAACGATTATCTCAGACTCTCCCTCCCTAGAACCTTTATCTTTAGCTTCCAGTTAAAAGAACCCATCCTTAGGGGAGGTGTCACATGTACTTTATAGCCTGCTGACCTCTATGGTATCTCAATTAGAGACCACCCAGGTCCTAGGCTCTTAAGCTAGAGAACCCATCTTCATGGTCACATGTACTTTGTAAAGGAGTTTTTATGTAGTCACACCTTAAGCTTTACTGTGTACCTGGAATTGGAATGATTGTTGCCTGGAAACCTATCTCCAAATTCTATTGTGTTTAAATATGCCTACAATAAACCACCTGGCATCAGATTTCCCAAAATGTGATCCATGTTGATAGAGTCAATCGGAACAGTTTTCATTCTCATCTTCTCAAGGTCATCTACCTTCCTGCCATGACACCTGAGGGACCCCCCTCATGCAATAACAGATCAACTTGAAATTTGGGGGTGGTTTCCAGACAGGGTTTCTCTATGTAGCCCTGGTGTCCTGGAACTGGCTCTGTAGACCAGGCTAGCCTTGAACTCACAGAGATCTGCCTGCCTCTGCCTCCCCAGTGCTGAGATTAAAGGTGTGTGTCACCACCACCCAGATAGGAAATAATTTTAATGTGAGCAAGATAAGATAAGCTGTTTCTGGTATAATGTGAATTGGGGGTGGAGTGGAGCCTTTGTTTTTGACATGGTGTCTTGCTTACACAGCCCAGACCAGCTTCAAGTTAACAATCCTTGGCATTCTGGCCCGCCCCTTGGGGACCCACCCTGCATCCTGATGTAAAGCCTCCTTTAAGGAAAAACCTCTTCCTTCCTCTTCCCCTTCCTCCCTTTCTTGCCATGAGGTGTGCACACCTCGGCTTTCCCTCTTTTCCTCCCTTTCTATCTATCTATCTATCTATCATCTATCTATCTATCTATCTATCATCTATCTATCATCTATCTATAATAAACTCTCTACATGGATGCTGTGTCTGCATGGTATGAGTGAATTTCCACCACATCACACCACTGCCCGCTGTGTGTGCGCTGTGTGTGTGTGTGTGCTGTTGTCTGTCCTTCACCCACCTTGGCCCTACCTGCCAAGGCCTCCCGTGTGACAACGTATCATTACAGTCCTCCTGCCTCAGACTCCTGAGTGTTATGATTACAGGCATGTACTGCTACTCTACCATTTTGGTTTTTTTTGGGGGGGGTGGTCCTGAAGATAGAACCTAGGGCCTTAAACATGTTAGTCAAGGGCTCTACTACTGATTTATATTCCTGTGTTTATTTATTCATTTATTCATCCTTTTTGGCAGTGCTGGAAGTCAAACCTAGTACGTCATGCATGTAAAAGAAGCATTCTACCACTGAGCTACAACTCCAGCTCTTAAACTTTTAAAAAAAATTCTGAGACAGGGTCAAAGTCAGGCCTTGAACTTGCAATCCCCTGCCTCGGTCTCCTAAGTAGCTAGGATTACAGGCCTTCACTATTAAAGAAAATCCCCGATCCCAAACCAGGGCCATAAAACAGGCCAAGACCTCAAAACACCTGCCACTCATGGAATTTAGGAAAGCAGCCCACCCCCATAACATGCACTGGGACCCAGAGATCTCACCCTGAGCCCAGAGGTTGTACAAGCAAACTGATTCTTAAAATTTAAAAAAGCAGTTTATCCAGAAACTGGCAAAGCCAGGCTCCCCCGGCCCCTTCCTTGGCATTCCATGGCAGGTTCCCCTGTACCCTCAGACACTGAGCTGCAGAGTTCAGGTGTGCCAACTTCTTAGACCACTAAAAGTTTGCTCTCACTGTTCAGAGGCCAAACTGGGTCTACTCTGCCATTTCCTGGGCTGACTTCTTGCAGCTGCCAGATCCAGCCGTATGTATGTATGTATGTATGTATCTGGCTCTTTTTATGCTTACAAGAAGCTAAAGTCTTGTGACTACTGAAAAGGATAGTGTGTTGGTTAGTTTCTTGTCAACTTGACCCAAACTAGAGTCTTTTGGGAAGAAGGAATCTCAATTGAGAAATGAGATTGCCTGCAGGCAAGTCTACATCCTGTAAGCTAAAGTAAGCCCTTTCCTCCCCAGGTGGCTTTTGGTTATGGCGTTTATCACAGTAACAGAAACCAAGCTAGGACACAGATTTCCCCCCTGGAGCGTTTCATATTTCCACCCAGACTTTCCCATCTCACAGGCAAGCCTCCCTGCCAGGACACTCCTGAGTGAGAACTACAAGATAGCACAAAGAGATTCAAGTGGGCTATTATACTCACAATAATCACTCACAACTAAACTTGAATACCCTTCTCTAGTCCAAGAGCGGCATGCAAGCCCATGTACACCACCACAGGCAGTTACAGTAACTACACTTTGGAAAGTTTTGTAGTCAAACCCCATTTTCCCCAGGCCTGACCGACCCTGCTTAGCTTCAGAAATCAGTTGCATTCAGAGTGGTATGGCCATAGCCTCAAACTTCCTTTTCCTCCCTCCAAATTCCATTTCTAAAACACAAGCTACCTGAGACACTGGCTACCTCTACCCAAGGTGTGAATAAGGCGAGGCCTTAATCACTGCCACTTTTGATCAATAACCAATTAGACCTTTCACTCTCCACAAACTGCCACTTTAGATCAATAACCAATTAGACCTTTTACCCTCCACTAGCAGTGGACTGCAGCTGTTTCTCAAAGCCACGTGGCATCTCTACTATTGACTCGCTGTGAACAACTCATAAGAGTGAAATTGCTTCTTTCTTCGAGGTTCCAAACCTTCGCGTTCTCTTTGCAACTAGTTACTGCACAGGACCGTGTCTGGGAAGAAAAATATCAAGGCCATGTGTCACGTGCTGACACACATTGAGGAAAAGGCGGCGTTCAGCCACTGGGCAGGCGAGGAGAGAGCTCACAGGAGAAGGTAGGGCTTTGAGCGACAGAAGCCGTGGGCGTGGCTTGTGCGGAGTGGGGCGTGGCCCAGAGCGGAGGCGGAGCTTCAAGGTGCGGGCCTCTCTCCTCACCTGAACCTGGCTGGGCCGGGCCCGCGTAATGGCGGGGCTTGCTTTCCACTTCAGGAAGCGTCTCAGCCAGCCCGGGGCTGTCTCTGGGGTCGCCGCCGCCGGCTCCGCCTTCGCTGCTGAGGTCTGCTCGCCCTGGCTCGTCGTGGAGGGCTGGGCCACCAGCGCGGCCCGTTTGCGGGCCTCCCGGAACTCGGCTAGCCTCTGTTCCATGGCGCGCGCCCGCCCGCCCGCTCCCGGAGCGCGTGCTCGGGGCCCCGCCTCGGCCGCCGCCGTGCGCCTGCGCAGGTGGATCTCTGTGGCGCCTGCGCACTGCGGTCGCGCCCGGCCTGCGGGCCGGAATTTTCCCGGGGGTTGTGACGTCCTGCGGATGGCTTGTGCCTGGAGCAATTTCTCTCTTCCGACGCTCGTGGACGACGCGTCCATCGTCTCGGGCTCAACTCTGAGGACCGCGGTGGGTTCCTGGCTCTTGCTCGGGCCGCAGAACCAAGTTCTGACGTGTTTGCGCCTCACCTCGGCGCAGTAGTCCCCACCGCCCCGCCTCCGGTTCCGGGGAGAACGTGGGAGCCAGGGGTCAGCACCCCAGGGAGAAAACCATCTCAGGACGTGGGAGGCGGCCGGTGGTCTCTGGGAAGTTCCCCGCGTCAGGAAGGCAGGGTGCTTCCTACCTTCCTCCGTGAAGGGGCTGCTATACCAGCCTCGCTGAAGGTTGGGCACACCTCCGTTTGTGTATTATGTGTGTGTTATGTATTTTGCTCGCTACACTAGAGAGATGCGTGCGTGACAAGTCAGAAGTGTAAAACAAACGAACTTACTGGGGCTCAATTTAAAAACACAAATCTAGAAGAAGGGCTCAAAAGAGTGTAAGAGCCAGAGGTAGGAGGCGGCCGCATTGAGGCAGTGTCTTCTGGCCATCGTGGGACCACGGCACTCAACTCCCAGCGGCTGTGGTTGCCTGCACAAGATCAAGCTAGCCAACATTCCAGGATAGGCTCGCAAGCCCCAACCCAACTGAGGAGCTACTGATGGGTGCTACCTTCTGGGGGAGGGAGAGTCAATTTAATGTTGTGGGCTCTGGTGGGTCAACCACACCCCAGTGGGTAGCACACGAATGGGAATCTGTGGGCTATTTTTAAAAAAATAAAAAGAGGAGGAGGTGGGAGGAGATGAATGTGGGAGGAGTGGGCATGAATGTGACTAAAATACATTGTATGTGTGTGTGAACTTGTCAAAAATTAATAAAAATAAACTATGCCCATCTTAACTGTAGTCTTAGCTGTGCACTTGTGTTAACTACCACCCAGGAAAGAACGTTCCTAGAACTCTAGATGTTCTTGCTCCTTCTCCCAACTATCATTTACCGAAAAAAATACAACTTCAGATTTGACTGTTTTACAAATTTTCAAAGCTCTAAACTAAGTGCCACTTGCAGAATTGAGTCTCAAATACTTTTTGGATATTGCTGAGTTTGAGTCAAAAGGCTAGAAAATGGAGTCCCATTAGTTAACCAATGTTTGTCTAGGGCTATGTGTTGAGTACTGTACCAAGCATTAAGTAAGATTTAGGGCTGGAGGTGGGGGAGGGGGTGTTGTATTACAAGCCATTCTAATTGGAAAGATGAGCCACAGACAAATAAACCATTTCATCTTTAATGTCATGTCAAATACTGACAAGCGCTCTGAAGCAAAGCAAAGCTAGTAACAGGGACAGTGCAGCCTTGACCAGTGATCAAGAACTTCGGAAAGAGGCTGCCATCTAAGCAGAGGCTAAATGAGATGAGTGGCTGAGGCATGTAGCTGTCTGGTCAAGAGTGCTTCAGTCCACAGAGGTGATCTCCATGAGTAAACTGGGGATGGGGGGACAATAGAGGAGAGGAGATGAGAACACAAGGGAATGGGATGGTTGAGCTGGGGCAGGGACGGAGTGGGAGAGCAATGAACGAGATATCTTGATAGAAGGAGACATTATGGGGTTAGGGAGAAACCTAGTGCTAGGGAAATTCCCAAGAATCTGTAAGGACGACCCCAGATTGAACTGCTAGCAACAGTGGTGAGGGTGCCTGAACTGGCCTACCCTGGTAATCAGATTGGTGACTACCCTAACTGTCATCATGGAGCCTTCATCCAGAAATTGATGGAACCAAGCACCAGGCCAAGCTCCGGGAGTCTAGTCGAAGAGAGGAAAGAGGGACTATATGACCAAGGGGAGTCAAGATCATGATGGGGAAAACTACAGAGACATCTGAACCAAGCTCAAAGGAACTCACGAACTGTAGACTGACAGCGGTGGAAGCTGCATGGGACTGGACTAGACCCTCTGAGAACAGGAGACAGTTGTGGAGCTGGGTCTGTTTGAGGGGCCCCTGGCAGTGAAGAAGAAACATCCAGTTAAGGGTTCTGAGACCACAGCTAGTGTGCTTGACCTCACAGAACCTTGAAACCCAGTATGACTATAACAGGGGGAGAAAGGGGGAGTGTCTAGTCTGCCACTTGGTTTGGTTTGGTCTGTTGTGTAGTGGGTAGCTGTTCCAGCTTTGACCTGGAAGTACTACCCCTAGTGAGGCTTCTGGTAACTGCCACACCTACCTCTGACTTGCCCCTGGGTGGGGCTGAGACCAGAGCCCTTAAGACCTGAGATCCAGATGTGCCAGGATCCTCGTGATCCTGGATGCTGGATGGCAGACCGAGTCAGAGTTCTCCAGAGAACACCACTGGACTGCACCTCACCTCTCCCAGATCCTGTAACCAACCCCTCTACTGGCTGTAAGTTACCCCAAATTAAACCTTTTTAACTTCATGGAGTTGCCTTGTTAAATCCCCGCATTACTGTTGGCTAGGATCTCAGTCTAAACAAATTGCCTTCAATATTATTTTCCATTTCTACTCATTACTAACCTGGACAACCAGGTGAATGATACTGGGGGCCCCTCCTTTTCTGGAGGAAGACCAGCAGAAGGATAATGGAATAAGCATTGAAAGTTTTGGCTATGGGTCTGGGATGCCTGTTGCATACCCAGATGAAGGCTATTGGGTAGTGAAACTGAATTTAGGAAGAAATAATAAATGGAGACCTGTAATGGGAACAATCGGCTGTGTGTGATATTTAAGCACTGAGGCCAAAATCAACTAGATGACAACTGTGCACTACTGTGGGATGTCTTTCTATATGCTGTGAATATGTGTTCCTCTGATTGGTTGATAGATAAAGCCAGTTGGCCTATGGCAGGGCAGGATGAAGCCAGGTGGGAAAATCCAAGGGAGATAGACAGAAAGAGAAAGGAGAGGCAGAGAGATGCCAGCCTGCTGCCCAAGGAACAGCATGCCCCAGACCAGGAAGCCACAGAACACGTGGCAAAACATAGATTAATAGAAATGAGTTAATTTAAGTTATAAGAGCTAGCTAGCAAGAAGCCTACCCTATGTGATGAAATTGGTAATTAACATAAGCCTGAGTCATTATTTTATAAGTGGCTGTGGGACTGAGGGCTGGGCGGGCCAGAGAAACCTTCCATCTACAAATGGTGCCCAGGACACAGGAAAACTTCCAGCTACAATGCACCACAAATTTATGTGGAGACCGAGTTGTGAGTGAATTGGAGATGGTAAGATAGGGAAAAATAGTTGGTTTTGTTTTGGTTTTAGATGTTAAACTATGGGTGTGTATTGTCTGTGTATGTGAGTGCAGTTGCTTGTGGAGACCAGAAGAGGGTGTTACGAGTAGCTGGATGTGGGTTCTAGGAACTGAACTCCAGTAAGAGCAGTAAGCACTCTTAACTGCTGAGCCTTCTCTCCAAGCCCCAAAGTGCAGTTTCTGTGCCACTGACATCTTGAGAAGCCATGAGAAATTTCTCACCTATCAGAAGCAGTAGGTCTGCTTCCCCCTAGAGTCTGCAAGTCTTTTTTAGTCTTTGTATTTGGTCACTTGACACTAAAACCTTGGAGCTGTGTTTATGGTCCACATCTAGAAGGCATATAGAATTAATAAATGGCCACTCAACAGACTGTTGTAATCAGTGTCCTTGATAGGAAGTGTGGTGCCTTCAAAGGATTACATGAGGAGGGTTAATTAGGAAGGTGTGGCAGAATTAGGGAACCAATAAGGTATGGTTCAGAGGATATCTTGCCAGCATCCGGAGCTGGAACAAGAGGAGACAAGGTTGCCTGTGATGGAGCACAGAGTAGGGAGGAAAGAGTGGGAACAGGACCAGCTGAGGCAAACGGGGACTTTGCAGGCGAGTGCTGGCTTCCTCCCTGTTCTGTCTTGATTGGTGACCTGTTCTCCATCTGCTGTGCCTTTCCATATTATGGATTTGTTTCAGTGCTTTGTAAACTTCTTTTTTTTTAACACGAATCTTAAAAGATCTTATTAATAAAAACAAACCCGGAGGCAGATATTGGGGTAAATTCTGAAAGATCAGAGAAGCAGAACAAGCCACATCCAACCTCACCTTGCCAATTTCTCAGCTGATCCTGTTTCCGCAGACTGAAAGCCTCTGAATCCTCATCCAAATGGATCTTTTAGGAAAGCCTAAAAGCTTAAAAAGGCCTGTAAACTTCTTTAAGTCCTTTCTGGAAGAGGTTAAAAGATGAGACAAACGGTAAGATGAAAGAGATGATCATGAAGCAGGACTCCTGCCCAGCCAACTTCACTTCCTCTCCAGAGAGCCTGTGGGATGGGGTGCCCAGGAGGGGGCTCAGGGGTTAAGAGCACTGCCTGCTCTTGTACAGGACTGGAGGCTGAATCTTGCCATCCTCATCACGCTGCTCACAGCCACCTGTAACTCCAGCCCCAGGGAATCCAATGCCCTCCTCTTGTCTCCTTGGGTACCCATATGAACATGCACATACACAGTCACGCACGTAGACATAATTAAAAATAATAAAATGAATCTTTAAAGAGAAAGGGGATTGTGTGAGAATAAGTGTCTCCTGGAGGGCTGGAGAGATGGCTCTGAGGTTTAGAACACTCGTTACTCCTACAAAGGACCTGGGTTTGATTCCCAGCTCCTACACATTACACAACCATCTGTAACTCCAGTTCCAGGGAAGCCCAGCATCCTCTTCTGACTTTCTCAGGCACCAGGCATACATATGGTACATGTACACACGTGTAAGCAAACAATCATAAAATAAACTATTACATTTTTTTAAAAAAAAGAAGTATCCGCTAAAATGCATTTAATGTGTGATTTTCATGAATTTACTTTCCCTTGGGAAACAGGAGTGAGTGGGTCTCACTACTGTCACCTAGTCACTGAAGCCAGGACTGATAAATTTCCTACAGTACATAGAACCAGCCTGGACAGCAAAGAAGTATTTGGTCCAATATGATAATTGTTCCAGGGTTGAAAACCCATTTAAGCAGAGAGAGTGATAGTTTCTTGAAGCTGGGCCTAAAAAGAAATGTGTGTGTATGTGTGTACTGTGTATACATGTGTATGTGTGTGTATATATACACATATATATACATATGTGTGTGCCCATAGTGAACTTGTACAGATATCTTTCTTGTCATTATTGTCTAAATAAAAGATAAAATGTAGCTGAAAATAAAAAAAGAGTAACTACCTCATGCAATCCTATGTCCAGTGTCACAAACTACGCCACATTCAAGTTGAAAGACAAAGTCTACCTTTAATGGGATGAACTACAAAGAATGTGTAAATGTCTGTTATCTGCCACAAAAAGATGCTTTGGAGTAGGCCAAGAAAAGCTGGATTTAATTTTACTATACTCTGTACATACAAAATCTCATATATGCATATGTGTATATATGTAAGTCATAAAGAATAATATACCCACGTGACCTGTGGCCCTGTGGTATGTTTTGAATGTGGGCTACAGTTATATACTCACTTTGTATCCATACCATTATAATTTGTGTGTACTTCTCCAGTCTTTTGTTTTTAGGTTTATTTTTATTTTTAATTATGTGTATGTGAGTGGATCTGTGTGTGTAAGTTTATGTATGTATGAGTACAGGCACCTATAGAGGCCAGAATCCCCCAGATCCCCAAGAACTGGAGTTACATTGTAAGCTGCCTGATGTGGGTGCCGGAAACTGAACCCATATCTTCTGCAAGGGTAGTATATGCTCTTAACTGCTGAGCCATCATCCAGCCCCTGCCTCTCCATTTTTTTTTAAAGCTTAAATCCAAGTCTTGAAAGTTGCTTTGTATCCAAGGATATCCAAGCAGAAGCTTGAAATGAGTTCTGTTTGTAA